TCTTGCCTGGAGAATCCCATGGACAGAGGAGCTTGGCGGGCTACAGTCCACAGGGTCGCATAGAGTCAGACACGACTAAAGCGACTTAGCATGCACACGCACCTGTGTTTAATGCCTCAGAACATTATCACCCCATCTTTGCAGAGGAAGGAAGTGGGACACAGAGAGATGAGGTAACTTAACCAAGGTCACACAGTGGGGTAGCAGGTAGAGACAAACTTGAACCCAGGAATCTCTTGATTCTTAGTGTATGTCACCTTTCATAGAAATGTGGGAGAGATGAACTGCAATGACTTCAGATGGTCTGGGGCAGGGTCATTGGAGGCTAGAGGTGAGAACCTGGGGGCCCTTGGACTAGGGGGTTCTGCCCAGTTCCCCGTGACCAGCCCTATCTGGGTGAATCATCCCTGTGGTTTCTCCTTTTCCTCTCCTGGATCCTTGATTATTTCCTCCTGAGACTTACATTTGACTGAAGCCAGCTAGGGCCTCCCTGGTAAGGAGGGAATCCCCCTGCCATGCAGGAGACCTGGGTTCGATCCCTGGGTTGGGAAGATCCCCTGGAGGAGGGCATGGCAACCCACTCCAGTATTCTTGCCTGGAGAAGCCCATGGACAGAGGAGCCTGGTGGGCTGCAGTCCATGGGATCGCAGAGTCGGACACGACTGAGCAACAAAGGACAGCACAAAGCCAGCTAGGGCTCCCCTCCCCCTGGCCCTGGGTCTCTCTGGGCCTTCTCAGCTGGGAAAAGAATCCCGACGTAGAGGACCAGGCAGCTCTGGGCAGGGGTGCTAAGTGGGCAACATCTCCAGGACCCCCAGAGGTTCTCCTGACTCTCCCGTTCACACCTGCTCTCACCACCCTTCTCTCTTAGCTGCGCATGAAATGTTCCTCCTTCCTTCCTCTGCCTCCATCACCAACCCCTCCTCTTGTGGGTCCCTTTGTGGGTCTGGGACCCCACCCCCTTAGGGCTGCCTGTGAGCTGGCTTGGCTGGAGAGGCAGTTTTCAACCTCACTGCCATGACACGTGTCAAGATCACTGTGGGTTACAAGAAAGTCATTACAAAGAATAGTGAGGACACCACTTCTGCTAATAGTTTACCTTTGGCTTATAGGACATTAGAGCAGATTCAAGGTGATTGTTTGATATAATCATGTCACTCTCACCACCTGGTCTGTGTGATACGTTGGCCTGAGAAAGGGCTGGAACTGCACTGAGCACCGTGTTCTCACTCTGCCTTATCTCAGCACCAGCTGGTGGTGAGGCTGGGCCTGGATGTCCTTGGGAGGGTGGCTCACACACAGATGTCGTCAGTAGGGAAGGCTGGGGCAGCTGACCGTAGCAAGGGGAGTGAGGCTGAAGCAGGGATTTCACCCTTTTTGTTTTTGGTCCTCTGGTTACAAAGCCAAGGCTGGAAGGTGGTGCTTGGGCAGTGTATTTGTTTCTGAGGCTTGCTCTAACCGAGTATACAGGCCAGGCAGTTTAAAATGACAATATTCATCTCAGCTTCGGAGGTTAGAAATCCGAAATCAAGGTGTCAGTGGGGCCACGTGCCTCCTGAAGCCTCCGGGGAAGAATCCTTCCTTGGCTTTTGTAGCTTCTCATGGTGGTCTGCAGTCTTTGGCAACTCTTGGAGTTCCAGCTGCTTCACTTCAGCCTCTGTCCCTGTTGTCACATGGCCTCCCTCTGTGTGTCTGTCCTCCTTCTCTTCTTCTAGGAACACTAGTCATATTGAATTAAGGCGTCATCCTAATGACCTCATCTTAACTTCATTACATTTGCAAAGACCCTATTTTGAAACAAAGTCACATTCACTTGTGGGTTAAGACTTCAAAATATCTTTGAGTTCACAGTTCAACCCATCACTGGCACTTGCTATTTTTTCCTTTTTTTGGAGGATAATTGCTTTACAATGTTGTGTTGGTTTCTGCCATACAACAACGTGAATCAGCTGTAAGTATACATACGTCCCCTCCCTTTTGAACCTCCCTCCCATGCCCACCACGTCCCGCTCCTCTAGGTCTTCAGAGAGTACCGAGTTGAGCTCCCTGTGTTATAGATCCGTTGCCCACTAGCTCTCTGTTTTACGTGTGATAATGTATATGTTTCAGTGCTGCTCTTTCAGTTCGTCTCACCCTCTCCTTCCCACACTGTGTCCACAAGTCCGTTCTCTGTGTCTCTATTCTTGTCCTGTAAATAGATTCATTGCTATCATTTATCTAGATTCCATATATTTGCCTTAATATATGTTTGTTTTTCTCTTTTTGACTTACTTCACTATATAATAGGCAGTTAGCTCTTGAATAAATACTTTGGCTCCTAGAGGGAGAGCTGAAGTTGAGAGTAGGGTTGGTGCAGTGTGGCCCGTCCCCTCCCGTAAGAGCACTCCAAGCCACCTAGGTACCAAGGCAGGGTAGATTCTAATTTGTAGCCATCGGTGCCCTTGTGCTCTGGGTTCTGATCTTTTTGAGGGCAGTGGTCATGCCTTCTGCCCAGCCAGGGGTCCCCTTTGGAGTCTGGGACGGCACCCTGGAGCTCGCAGGAGGCTGATAGCCACGGATGCGCCTTCCTGCTCCAGCAGCTTCCAGCTGTAGTCATCATTTGGGAAATCACACTGGCAGATGCCCTGTGCTCCCCACCTAATAGTCCTCACCACGCCCTGGAGACTGGTCCAGGGAGAATAGGCTGGCTCAGGGGAGAGGAAGTCTCTCCTGGTAGCTCAGGTGGTAAAGAATCCACCTGCAATGCAGGAGACCTGGGTTCAATCTCTGGATCGGGAAGATCCCCTGGAGAAGGAAATGGCCACCCACTCCAGTATCCTTGCCTGAAGAATACCATGGACAGAGAAGCCTGGTGGGCTACAGTCCATGGGGTCGCGAAGAGTTGGACATGACTGAGCACCTAACACATGGGAGAGGGGCTCAGCCCACCAAAGGTTGGGTACGGGGCCCTTTGCCTGGGACTCAAGAGACCTCGGTGATAATCTTATCTGCTCTGGTTCTCAGGGACTCGACATCTCCCACTGTATGGAGAGAACTGGACAGTGTGACTGTGTATAAAGTGTCCCCTGACCACTGATACTAAAAACCTGTCGGCACGGCCCTGCTCTCGGGTTTGTTTCTGGAGAACCAGGGTGGCAGTTGGTCAAGTCTGCCCACAAGCCATCTCCAGCAGAGAAAGGCAGGGGCCTTCAGCTAGCCTCACACAATCCTGTAGACTCTGAGTGGCAGCTTGACACCGCTCCCTTCCCTGCATGGTTTTCCCTTCCAGGCTGCCTGTCCCACCGAGGAGCCGCCCTGTCGGTCCTCATCTCGGGGGGTCTCAGGGTGATGCTCCTCTTCCCTCAGCATCCTTCCCCACTTCCCTTTCTCTCTCGGGGTGCAGGCCCATTGAGGGGGAGCAGGGGCTGCCTGGACAGGGTAGAGTGGCTGGAGGAAGCGAGCTGGTTCCAAACCCAGCTCTGTTGGATCCACAGGCAGGCGCGGGCCAGAGCAGGAGGGCACTGTCCACAATGGTCACACCCCAGGCCTTAAAGGGAAGGGGAGGCTGGTGGCTCTGAGCAGCAGGAGTGTGTCTGTCCCACTGTGTGTGAGCGTGTGTGTGCACAGACACAGGTGTTGAGTGTTGGCCCTTTGGTTCTTGCCCTAGTTACAGTCTGGATCAGGAGGGAGGGGACCCCGCTCTCCAATTATCAGCATGAGCCCCAGGTCCAGGAAGAAAGGAGGAAGGAAGGCAGATGGAGGAGCAGAAAGGGGGCTTGGCAGGGATGAGGTTAACAGGGTCACAAGGATCCTCTGCGAAGCCAGCTGTTCACTCAGCCTGCTTACCTGGCATCCTGGAGGATGGGCTACGGGGACGGGCAGGGGGTGTGCCAGGGTAGCTGGGCTTGCCTGGCTGAGGGGAGCCAGCCTGAGCTGGTGTCTGAGCCCTGGAGACAGGATTTCCTCTGGAAAGACGGAGGGCGGGGCTCTGTAGGCAATGTGGCTTCTCTCATGAAGGGGACTCGGGGTTGGAGCTGTCACCCCGGTTGGCAGGACATGGACTGGAATAAAGTACAGAAGCGTTTTCTCCAGGTGGCAGTGGGCGTCCTTTGGTCATTTCAGTGGGGCCAGGTCAGGGACTGACTCCTGGCTGTGTCGGGGTGGGGATCTGGAGAAGCAAACAGTTGCAAAACTGGGGCTTTGTGGCTCAGCCCAGTCTTTTTCAGCCCTTAGTACCGTCACAGGAGATAGCCAGGGCATGTCCCGGACAGCAGAGCCCCTTGTCTGGGAAGTCCCCCGGTTCTGCCCAGCTGGCCCTGTTGCGTAACCATCGCTCCGAAGGCTTATCCATGGCACACACTCTCCCTGCTGATTGGACTGTCAACCAGCACTCCCTGGTCACCAGCAAGGGCCAGATGGAAAGTGGGGAGCGTGTGAGAGCCGCGGACTTGTCGCGATTGTGTTGCCATGGAGACACAACTCTGTTTAGCTGCCTCTCCGTGGTCCTAGCCCACGTGGACTAAAATAAGTCTTACCTGCAGCTTACACGGCAGGCAGCCCTGCCGTTTCAAAGTCAGCCGTCTGACCGGGGTGTGTGTGTGTGTGTTTAGGGACAGTGGGGCCCCCGGGGAGGATGAGTTGAAGATGTTTACCCCGCTCTTCTTTTTTTCCTTCCCAGTCCCATGTCTCTTTAGCTTCACCGTTCTCAGCCCTCAGCATCACAGTCACCTGGAGAGCTTGTTAAAACACAGATTCCTGGGCCCCGCTGTCGGAGAGTCTGGTGTGCATCTGAGAATGTGTCTTTCTAACAAGTGACACTGATGCTGCGGGTGCAGGGGTCACTCTGGGAGTAAGCCCTGCCTTAGATTTTAGTGCATCCTAGCCAAGAAGTGCACTGACTCTATTTTCTGCACATGTCAGCCTGTGTCCTTAAGCCCAGCTGCTGATAGAGGAGAGGGAGGAGGTGCAGACAGGCCCCTGCTCACTTCTGACCTCTTCTGTGTTCTGTGGTCTCCTCACAGGAAGCAGGAGCTGGCCAACAGCTCAGATGTGACCCTCCCAGACCGGCCGCTGTCCCCTCCTCTCACGGCGCCTCCCACCATGAAGGTAAGAGGCTTCGGGCTGGTAAGTAGGGAGGGGGCATTGCAGGGGCCGGAGACGGGGGAGCCCCCTTGCTTCTGTCCCCTCCGTGGGGGCCATGGAGCCTCCCCGCACCTCTGGATGCAGTGTCCACTTGAGATAACTAGTGCGGGAGGAAGGTGTGACTGTGAGATACAGGGGTGTCAGGGGGCGGTGAGGAAATAGACTGGGGTTGACTGCGGTGGGCAGGATGCCTGGTGATTAGCGAGAGGCCTTGTGGAGCTGTAGATCCTGGAGCGAGGGGCCCAGGTGGGGCACTTAACGTGGGGACACTCAGAATGTGGCCGGGTGCCTCATGGGACCCCCTGCTCAGAAGGGCTGCCTGGGGGTGGGGAAGGAGGGGTCCTGTGGGCTGGGACCCTCCTGGGGTTTGGGTGGCTCTGGTATGCTGGTCAACCTGCCTCTGACTGGCCCTCCTAGGTGGCTCTGTCACCCCAGTCTGTATGGGAGGGTTGCCCTGGAGGTTCTGGGGCACCCATTATTCTCCTGTTAGCACTTCATGCACAAGTCTCTTTCATGGGAAATTGCATCCCAGGGCCCCGAGGGGCCTCATCCTCCCCACACTGAGCTCCCCACTTCCTGTCATCCAGTCTTCTGGCCAGGTGGCCACACGTGCCTGGGCTGGCCCCCAGGGGGGACTTTGGTTCAGCTGGTATTGCCGTCTAGGCAGCAACGCGCCTCCCTCCTTCCCTCACCCTTTGCCAGGTGACGACCAGCTCTGAAGAAGTCACCTGCCTCCTGAGTCAGCTGAGGGGGCATCTAGGCCAGCCCCCGCTCTGTCCTGAGGCTCTGTTGCCAGGTGACTCACAGGGAAATAATTAGGTATCTCTTTCTTGTGAGTCCCTGTTGTACCCCCTCTTCCCTGACCCAATCTGTTGCAAAGTGATACCTTCAAAGGAAGTAGGTAAAAGCCATCTTCCCATTACCATCCCACTTTGAATGCCCACCATGCACAGAGCTGTGTGGTGTGCACCGTGGGGGCAGTATCCAGGAATGGCAGTCAGAGCCTGTGTCCCGGTTGAATTAGGAATTCGGGAGTGGGGGGCGCGGTGCAGGGCCCACCTAGGACAGCTCTGCCCTCCTCCTGGCGGGGGTGCCCAGGGGCATTGAAATCCAGACCATCTGCATCAGCCTGGTCACAGTGCTGGCATCTGAACCAGGCGTCGGGGTGGCTTGTTTGCACGGGGCAATACTGAAACTTGCTGCAGTTCTCAGTTTCAGCCCCTTGCTCTGCAGAGTTGGGTGTGGGATGCTCATCTCTGGGCTCACATGCTGTGCTGTGTTTAGACACTCAGTCATGTCTGACTCCTTGAGACCCCAGGACTGTAGCCTGCCTGCCAGGCTTCTCTGTCCACGGGGATTCTCCGGGCAAAAATACTGGAGTGGATTCCCAGGTCCTTCTCCAGGGGATCTTCCCAACCCAGGGATCAAACCCTCATCTCTTATATCTCTTGCATTGGCAGGCGGTTCCTAAATCCCATATGTCACAACTAAGACTTTCAGCAGCCAAATAAATAAATAAATATTTTAAATAAAGAAAAAAAAATTGGGGCTTTATCCTAACTAGAGGCACTGAAGTCATTGAAGATTTTAGTCCGAGGAGTGAGATGACTTTTGAAGAGTCACCCTGGCTTGTGTGGGAGGGAGCAGAGTGGAAGTGGGGTGGCTTGGGAGGCCACTGCAGGAATCCATTGCAGAGAGGATGGTGGCCTGACTCCAAGGGGCCCGTGAGGTTGTTTGGAAGTGGTCAGATCATACATTTCCTATGTGGTGAGATGTGAGCATTTGGGGTGAGGTAGGGGGCAAGGATGGCCCCAGGTTTGGAGCAACTGGACAAACGTTACAGCCATTCTCTGAGAGGGAGTGCCCTGGGAGAGAGAATGAGGGCTTAAGTTCCACGTGCTGAGTTGGACAAGCCTGAGACACCAATGGGGGTGTCAGTGAGCAGCTGGGTATTTGGGGGCCAGGCTCAGAAGAAGGGTGTGACTGGAGGTAAAAACGCGGAGTTATTTTTGTCTACATGGGAATGGAAGCTGGGGGTGGATGGGTGGGTGAACTCTCCAGGGAGAGAATGGAGCCGGCAGATGAGAGATTCCTGGGGTGGCCTCCCCAAGTTGAAGGCTGGTGCGGAGGAGGCTGGAGACGTGGTGGGAGGGATGGGCAGATCTGGGTTAGTGGTCTGGCGGCTACTCAAAACTACAACGCTCACTTATGTCGCAGTCTCAGCGCAGGGGGAGCGGCCATTTTGGGACAGCACTTACCAGGTCATATTGCCGGCCCAACGCGTCCCAGCATTGCGTTCAGGGCAGCAACTGCGTCCTGTTCTGTGGGTCCCTGATTCTGGTGGATGGTTTTTTTTAAAAAAATAATTTATTTTTATTTTATGCTGCACTGGGTGTTTGTTGCTTTTCATGAACTTTCTCTAGTTGCAGAGAGTGGGGGCTATTCTTTGTTGCTACTTTTCGTGAGCGGGCTTCTCATTGCAGGGACTTCTCTTGTTTCAGAGCACGGGATCTAGGTGCACAGGCTTCAGTAGTTGCAGCTCACTGGCTCAGTAGTTGTGGCTTGAGGCTCTAGAGCACAGGCTCAGTAGTTATGGCACATGGGCTTAGTTGCTCTGCAACATGTGGGATCTTCCTGGCCCAAGCATCAAACCTGTGTCTCCTGCATTGGCAGGCAGATTCTTATCCACTGCGCCACCAGGGAAGTCCATCTAGTAAAGGTTTATGGTGTGTTGATGATACTGGAATCCTGGTTGGAGGAGCAGGCACTTACCTTCCACGCCTCTGGTTTTGCTTGAGTGTCCTCTACCATCAGGCACTTCTCTAAATTAAGCCCAGATATATGTGTTCTTTGATATGTGGACTGAAGCCCCCTCCCTCCCCATCAGTTCCACGTGAAGTCACCTGTGAGGACCTGGGTTCCCACCTGCGATGTCCTCTTCAGGGTGGGATTGGGCCCAGACATTGAGGTCTGGGACACCACGGGGTGGAGGCTGGACTCTCTCTAGGAGGTCACTGGCCCTGGAGTTCCATCAGCCCCCCGCCCTCCCAGCATCTGGACAGGGGAGGAGGGTCTGACTCGGTTCCCTGGCAGTGCAGGCTTGGGGCAGGGGTGGCAGGGAAACCCCTTTGGTGTTGATTAGCTTGGGAGTCACAAAATCTCAGGGGTGGTGATCCATTTCCTTTCCAGGTAAGCTGGAGGCCAGGAGGTGGGAAATGACTTCCCCAAGGTCCCACTGAAGATAGCTGTCTTCCTCCTATGGCCATAGAGTCAGTTCAGTTCTAAGACACACACCATTTTTGATGCGATGCTCTCATCCCACCCCGCACACCAGGGACAGCCCTGCTCTAGTTGCTCCCTGCACTGGGAAGGGAGTGGTGGAGCAGAAGCTGGCCTCCAGCCTGAGAAGCCCCCTGCAGACCCCTGCCCCCAACTGGCATGCCTGCTGCAACGGGTCCTCTCTGCCCCTCCCCCACCTCTTTCTGTTTGTGGTTTTCAGGGGTTTTTTTCTTTTTTCCCAAGAGATGCTGAGCAGATGGGCAGAATGAGAGCCCAGTTCCCAGCCAGAATTCAAACTGTGGATGGCGCAGGGTGGGCTGGGAGAGGGGCTGGGGGCTGTCTTCCTGGGAATGCAGTGGATCGTTTCCAGGCTCACGTTTTTTACGATCCAGTTTTCATGCCCAGATGGATCACCTGGCACCCAGGAGAGCCGGGTGTGTCTCCTGCGCTGTGCCAGACCCCGTGGGGTCAAACCAGGCCTCTGTCCTTGTCCCTCAAAGAACCCGCTGTCTTCGGGGGGCCTTAACTGAGCAGAAGAAACCGTATGGCTCAGCATGTGACAAGCTGCAGTGAGTCCAGTGGCTTCTCAGTGCGGGGAGAGAAGTGAGGCCGGCTTCGCGGGGAGTTGGAAGGGACCCTAGTGTCTAGCACGGGGGTTGGTCGACCCTCCAGGAAAGACCGTAGAACAGCCTTTTGGCCTTGAAGAGGGTGGGGTTGACCCTCCTGATTCTTTTCTAGCTCGCAGTAAGTCCATGGGCCTTCTATCGAAGGTGGTGATGCCGGGGCCTTGGTGTGGCCTTGATCTGAATTATCGCACTCGTCTCTGGAGCCCCACCAGGCCTAGTCCGGGAGGTGACCCTCGCTCAGCCTCCTCCGTCTTTCCCTGTGCTAGTCCGAGGGCAGCCCCCTCCACCCCAAACCTTCCCCTTTCCCGAAGACAACAAGGAGGCCTGAGGTGCCCGCTGTAGGGGGGTGCAGAAAGTCTTGCCCCTGCTTTGTCCCCTGGCACTTTGCTCTGCATCCCTCGAAACCCCAGCGGTGGGTCAGGCAGGTGTGAAGTCCCCAGAGGAAGAAAGTGGACATCAGAGAGGCCTTCTCTGCACTTCCTGCGTTTCCTGTGGGCAGGGCTGTGCTGCGTCTCTGCCACCTGCCCTCACGAACTGCCCACCAGCCACCCTCTCTCCTGGGCAGTAGGGCTGGGGGTGCTGGGGTTTCTTTTCCAGCTTGGAGCCCAGCCCCAGTCCCGATGCCAGCTCTTACTTTGCCCTGGTTCCTGTCCCTGCCTTCTAATCTCACTCTGAAAAGAGACCACACCTCGCTGTCAGGATTGAGTGAGGGGTGTCAGCTCCCATCAGATCCACCAAGTTTGTGTGGGCGAGGTGAGGGGCCCTTTGTGGGAAGGGTTGGGACCCCTCTAGGGTGGGGCCGGAAGGGCTCAAGGACAGCGGCAAGGGGATTTGGTTCCCTCTCCTTAAGAAAGCCCTGGGTGGGGTGGGGGGCATGACAGTCGGGACTCGCATTCCCTACCCCCAGCCGTGACCGCCTCCCAGGAGTTCAGCTGGCTTTCTCACTGGTGCTCCTGGGAGGGCTGTCCCTGGTCTCCACATGGATCCTGTTTATGTCACTGATCCAGATGCCATCCTCTCAGGAACCACTTCCCAGGAGGCCTCTGATTGCGTGCAGGC